GACTAATAGCTATCGCAAACCGTCATCCAGGTTACCATGAACTATCTAAGCGATTCCTTTGCCCTGAATGGCAACAGATTAACTTACAAAAAATTCAATATAATAGCCAAACTGGCCTTTATACTGTACCAAGTGCAAGTACTAATAAATTTTACATTGTTGACACCTCTATAGGGACATGCACATGTCCTGTCGCACTCGGTAGAGCTCCATGCAAACATCAGGCCGCAGTTGCGGTAAAATATCATGCATGGTCTTTTGATTACATTCCAGCTCTTTCGCTTGATGACTGCGTGAAATATAATTACATTGCATGTGGTTGGTAAATGTGTTTTATATTAGTGTTATGCAACATAATATTAATTTTAATAATTGCAGGCACAATTGTTGAAGATCCAACATTTTTTGCATCATTACGGGCATCCAACAATGAATGGGTTAGTGAAATAGTTAGTGCACGAAGTAATCAATATGATGAAATATCAAGCATGTCAATTATTGAATTAAGCGATATTCAGCCATCCAAAGATGACATTGAAATTAGGTTTGTAGTAAACGTTTTTAGTCAATTTATAATTCGTAATAAATTCAGAATTTATTTTAATTACTACATAGCAATGAAGTTGTAAATGAGCGTATAATGTCTGTTGAGAAGTTTTTTCAACACATTATGGATGATATTAAAAATAATAGCCAACTTCTTGCGGGCATTGAACATTTTAAAAAAGGATATGAAAAAGCTGAATCTCTGTCAATGGGAAAGTTATCATCTTTTTTATTTCAACAAAGCTCCACATCCTCATCACAATCGTCGAATATTCGAAGTGGGTCAAAAATTAAAGTTCAACCCACATCAGTTCAAAGAAGAAAATCTCGTGGTCAGAAGGAAAATATCGATCCATCCGAAATGAAGGAACGTAAGAAAAGAAAAACCGCAAAAAGGGCACATAATTTATCGAAAAACGTCACAGAAAACAAACCAAATTAAAGGTTAAAGAGCATAAACTAGAGTTAATTTATATTATTTGTGTGCGTTGTATATGCACTGCAATTG